TGTAAAAGCTTCTGTGTGTAAAAGCGTCTGTGTGTAAAAGCGTCTGTGTGTAAAAGCGTCTGTGTGTAAAAGCGTTTGTGTGTAAAAGCGTCTGTGTGTAAAAGTCTCTCTGTGTGTAAAAGCTTCTGTGTGTAAAAGCGTCTGTGTGTAAAAGGGTCTGTGTGTAAAAGGGTCTGTGTGTAAAAGCGTTTGTGTGTAAAAGTGTCTGTGTGTAAGAGCTTCTGTGTGTAAAAGCACCTGCGTGTAAAAGCGCCTGTGTGTAAAATCGTCTGTGTGTAAAAGTGTCTGTGTGTAAAAGCGTCTGTGTGTAAAAGCGCCTGTGTGTAAAAGCTTCTGTGTGTAAAAGTGTCTGTGTGTAAAAGCTTCTGTGTATAAAAGCCTGTGTGTGTAAAAGCTTCTGTGTGTAAAAGCTCTGTGTGTAAAAGCGTCTGTGTGTAAAAGCGTCTGTGTGTAAAAGCGTCTGTGTGTAAAAGGGTCTGTGTGTAAACGCGTCTGTGAAAGTCTTTGCGTGTAAAAGCATCTGCCTGTAAAAGCGCCTGTGTATAAAAGCGTCTGCGTGTAAAAGTGTCTGTGTGTAAAAGCGTCTGTGTGTAAAAGCCTCTGTGTGTAAACGCGTCTGTGTGTGTGTAAAAGCGTCTGTGTGTAAAGGAGTCTGTGTGTAAAAGCTTCTTTGTGTAAAAGCGTCTGTGTGTAAAAGCCTCTGTGTAAAAGCCTCTGTGTGTGAAAGTGTTTGTGTGTAAAAGCTTCTGTGTGTGAAAGTGTGTGTGTGTGTGTGTCTAAAAACATCTGCGTGTAAAAGCGTCTGTGTGTAAAAGCCTATGCGTGTAAAAGTGTCTAGTGTCTGTGTGTAAAGGCGTCTGTGTGTAAAAGCCTATGTGTAAAAAAGTGTCTAGTGTCTGCGTGTAAAACCTTCTGTGTGTAAAAGCTTCTGTGTGTAAAAGCGTCTGTGTGTAAACGCTTCTGTGTGTAAAAGCGTCTGTGTGTAAATGCGTCTGTGTGTAACAGCTTCTGTGCAAAAGCGTCTGCGTGTGAAAAACAATACGAAGGATAGGATGCAAACTAGCGTTTTGTACTTGTAATATATTGTCTTGATACTACTTGTCTCGCCTGCCTAAAATACATCTTTAATATATTGTCTTGCAATATAGTGTCTCAATACTAACAACAGAAGACCCTGCTCTCTCTCTCTCTCTCTCTCCCTCTTTCTCTCTCCCTCTCTCTCCCTCCCTCCCTCCCTCCCTCTCTCTCTCTCTCTCCCTTTCTCTCTATCTATGTCTCTCTGTGGTTGCAAGACACGTGTCATATGATGCCCTTTACCAAGCAGCACAGTGCATATGCATGGGTTGTCACATGTATCCTCTTCTTAATCAATCTTACTTTTCACAACTTCCCCCTCCATAGCTCATATAAAATTCACCAACCTATCACCGACTATTTTTTACGACTACCATACTCAGAGCTGCTTGAAAAACGGCTTTTTCGCTCTCGGGCCAACCGTCGTCTAGTTGAAGGAAGTCTCGCAGAAAAGCTTTCTTTTGGAGCTTCGAAGCTCGATTTTTGAAGGAAGTCTCGCAGAAAAGCTTCCGTTTTTGAGCTTCGAAGCTCCATTTTTGAAGTAACGCAGGGGGAGGGAAAGTTTAAATAAAGAAGTAGAAGGGAGACCATTGTATGGTGGAACGCAGGGGCCCAGGGGGGGGAAGTTTAAATGAATGTAGACCATTGTATGGTGGAACTTTGGGGGACAAAGTTTAAATAAAGAAGCAGAACGGAGACCATTGTATGGTGGAACGCAGGGAGGGAAATTGAAACAAACAAGGAAAATGGAGACCATTGTATGGTGGAACGCAGGAGGGAAATTTAAATAAAGAAGTAGAATGTAGAGCACTGTATGGTGGAACGCGGGGGGGTGAAGTTTAAATAATGAAGTAGAATGGAGACCATTGTATGGTGGAACGTAGGGGGGGGAATGTGCTAAATAAAGAAGTAGAAGGGAGATCATTGTATGGTGGAACGCAGGGGGGGAAGTTTAAATAAAGAAGTAGAAGGGAGAGCATTGTATGGTGGAAAGCAGGGGGGAAAATTTAGATACAGAACTAGAATGTAGACCATTGTTTGGTGGAACGCAGGGGAGGGAAGTTCCAATAAAGAAGTAGAATGGAGACCATTGTATAGTGGAACGCAGGGGGGAAGTTTAAATAAAGAAGTAAAATGGAGACCATGGTATGGTGGAACGCAGGGGGGGGGAGTTTAAATAAAGAAGTAGAAGGGAGACCATTGTATGGTGGAAAGCAGGGGGAGGGGGGGAAGTTTAAATAAAGAAGTAGAAGGGAGACCATTGTATGGTGGAACGCACGGGGGGGAAGTTGAAATGAAGAAGTAGAATGCAGACCCTTGAATGGTGGAACGCAGGGAGAGGAAAGTCTAAATAAAGAAGCAGAATGCAGACCATTGTATGGCGGAACGCAGGGAGAAGAAAGTTTAAATAAAGAAGCACAATGGAGACCATTGTATGGTGGAACGCAGGGGGGGAAGTTTAAATAATGAAGTAGAATGGAGACCATTGTATGGTGGAACGCAGGGAGGGAAATTGAAACAAAGAAGGAAAACGGAGACCATTGTATGGTGGAACGCAGGGAGAGGAAAGTCTAAATAAAGAAGCAGAATGCAGACCATTGTATGGTGGAACGCAGGGTATTGTATGGTGGAACGCAGGGGGGGGAAGTTTAAATAAAGAAGTAGAAGGGAGACCATTGTATGGTGGAACGCACGGGGGGGAAAATTTAAATAAAGAAGCAGAACGGAGACCATTGCATGGTGGAACGCAGGGGGGGGAAGTTTAAATAAAGAAGTAGAAGGGAAACCATTGTATGGTGGAGCGCGGGGGGGGTAAGTTTAAATAGAGAAGTAGGGTCGCAGGTGACCGGATAATAGGGTCGCAAGTGACCGGAATTTGCTTCTCAGAATAGGGGCGCAAGTGATCGGATAATAGGGTCGCAAGTGACCGTTGCACCCTCTACACAATGCATGCTCATTGTATCGCATGTACTTGACACGTTCACATTAATTCATATGGCCCACTGTGCCACTCCGTGGCTCAAGACTTGCTTGCATACCGCAGCAAAAAGGTGTAGCGTGCCGCCGCGTTGACCACAAGTGTTATCGTAGATCCAGGGCTCCCTCAATAGAAGGGGGTGGCTACCTCAGGGGGTGGGGGAATGGGGGGGGGGTCCGTGAACACGAGACACGGGACCATATATATATAGATATATATATATACACACACATACAATTAGTTTTCTGCGTGGTACTACCAGTAATTGTTACATGTTACTTGCATCGTTGTGATCATTTGTGATCAATCCTGACGCACCTTCATGCCTGGAAATGTGAAATCGATTCAAATTCTTAGGCACTCCATGGCGAAGGTGCAGAGCCAAGACCAATGTTTCCCGTGTACCAGCTGGAGCATGATATTCCAGGGGCGGAAAGGTAACTTGAAAGGGGGCCTGAAACATATGCAGAATCATGTAGTATGATGCAGTTTGATGCAGTGTCATTGATGTCAATGCCGCACCTTTTTCATTATTCTCACTGCCATGACCTATGTTTTTGCGGATTACCTTCTGACTGCAAGAAATAGAATGAATACGGGGAACTCAGACGGCCGAAATTACCCTTGATGATTGGTCAGATGAACGTGAAGTTTTGCACCGTCAAGGACTTGGGCGTGTGCATTCAGAAAAGACGCTGACGAGGAGCCCAAGAACTGCTGCGAGGCAAAGCACAAGAGTCACAAGAGTTCAGTTTCATCAGAAACTTGTGGAACTGGCCAGGCACTGCTTGACAAATGATTGTTTCCTTGTTGCTTCACCGCTGTTTAAGGGTTTTCATGGGTTTTCAACTTATGCCTGTTTCAAGATTAAGGCGAGACAGCCGGTCGCCATCTCCTGGGAATGGCCTCGGGCAGAGATGAAGTTGGGTAAGTTGGTCTGCGTGAAGCAGTTGAAAGGCAGCTGATTTCAGCTGAAACCAGTCCAGCGATCTCGCAGCCTGGCAGCAAAGGTAGAACATCGCCTCTCGCCTCATTGCAGCGCCCAAGGCAGCTCAGCCGAATCTGAGCACAGATTGCACTGAAGTGGTCTGAAGTGTAGGTGAAGTATAGTCAAGTGAAGCTAGGGCTGCCCTGTAAGTTGCAAGTTCTTGGGGCCGGCAGGGTTGCAGCGCAGTGCTCTTCTCAGAATCTCCAGAGCCTTTCTCGAAGCCTCGCATGGTGACAGCCTGGATTTTGTAACCTCTGATCTTTCTGGCATTTCTTGAAAGATCTTGACTCAGCGGACCCTGAGTTTGCATGAGTGATGTGCAAGATTCATTTCAAGACCTTTTGGCAAAGTCCAAAGATTCTCGAGATCCCGCAAGACCTGGCAGACATGCGCCATCAGAATACCATATTTGTTTTTTGGTCTGGGAAAAGCATTTGACAAAATCAACTGGAAAGCTCTTTTGTTGAAGCACCGGAAACCGCGAAACTTGATGCCAAGATGATGAATCACATCGAAGATATGGACGGCCTTTCTTCAAGATCGTTCACAACGAAAATGACCGCAAATGAAAAACCAACACTCCAGAATTTGACAAGCATGCCCCCCTCCTCCCCTCACCATTTAACGCATATGTCAAGTTCTTGTCAAATAAGTGTCAGATGCAAACACAATGATACCTAATTTCGCCCAACGGTCAGCCACATGCATCCTTAGCAGCTCTTGCACGTTGAAAAGGCAACTAGACGATGTTTGGTTTGTTTTAGGTTTTGTGCGACTTTAGTGCCCGTGTTTCGTCTTTGTGATTTTGTTTCTGCTAGGACCAGGCCTGTAGTATTTTCAGAAGCCGCAAGACGGAACTCGAAACTACAACTGCGTGTGTGTATTTGTTATTACCAGAAGTACCGCACAAGGCGGTGGCGGAAGTTTCAAAAATAGGAAACCTATAGGAGATCTTGGTTGTTGTGAATCACGAATGGCAGAGCGAATCCACTGATGGACCGAAAGGTGGTTGGAGTTGTGTTTTTGAAGTGGCCGCAATGGTTGCAGTGGTCACCTCTTCCTCAACTGCTTGATGTAGTGTGGTGTGGCGTAGCGCAGTTGTAGTTGTAGTTGTAGTTGTAGTGTAGAGTAGTGGATTTGTAGTTGTAGTGTAGTGTAATTAGTATGTGTGTTGTTGCGGTTGCAGTTGTAGTTGTGGTGTGGTGTCATTAGTGTAGTGCAATGTAGTGTAGTGTAGTGTACAATAGTGTTGTGTACTGTAGTGTAGTATAGTGTGGTGTGGTGTAGTCTAGTGTAGTGCAGTGTAAAGTAGTGTAGTTGTAGTTGTAGCTGCCATTGTCCTTGTAGTGTAGTGTGGTGTAATTAGTATAGTGTAGTGTGGGGTAGTTGTAGTTGTAGCTGTAGGGTTGTGTAATGTGTTGTAGTTGTAGCGTGGTTGTAGTGTAGCTGTAGCGTAGTTGTAGCGTACTGTAGTGCACTGTACGTAGTGTAATTAGTGTGGCGTAGTGTAGTGTAGTTGTAATTGAAGTTGTAGCTGTATTTGTAGTGGTAGTTGTAGCTGCAGTGTGGTGTAACTAGTGTAGTGTAATGTAGTGTAGTGTACTGTGTGTTGTGTACTGTAGTGTAGTATAGTGTGGTGTAGTCTAGTGTAGTGTAGTTTCAAGTAGTGTAGTTGTAGTTGTGGCTGTCGTTGTAGCTGTAGTGTCGTGTAATGAGTGTAGTGTAGTGTGGTGCAATTGTAGCTGTAGTTGTAATTGTACTGTTGTGTAATCTGTCTTAGTTGTAGTTGTAGTTGTAGCTGTAGTTGTTGTGTACTGTAGCGTAGTGTAATTAGTGTAGTGTAGTGTAATGTAGTGTAGTTGTAGCTGTAGTGTAGTTGTAGTAGAGCTGACGCCCTCGTACCAATGCGTTTTGCGATTTTTGCACTTCACCTGTCTAAAGTACTGTGCCTGCCACGAAAAAGTGATGCCAGGTCATACGAAGTGACGCACCTGTCACGCAAAATCATTTTAGCAAACCTACACATCTGATGCTCCAAAATGCAACCCTTCTCAGGAAATCAGCGCCCGGACCTCCTAACAGCTCTGATGAACATGTCACTTGTACTGCGCCTGCCATGGAAAATGCATCTTTGCAGATCCTCTTCAAATGCCCCACGCCTGTCATCGTTTTTGGAAATGCGACAAAACCCTCTCACTCTTGACAAGGTCCACAATCCCTTGCGCCTGCCACGCGAAAGCACATCTGAACGTCCAAAAATGCTCCGTACCCCGCAGTTTTTTGTGCTTTTGACTTCGAAATGTGCTTCGCGCCGCAACGGCGTGCACTTTTTCGACATCGCAACTTCCAAAAGTGGTCCGAACATTGTGTGTTTTGCGCATTTTGACTTGGAAATGTGCTTCGCGCCACAACGGCGTGCACTTTTTCGACATCGCAACCTCCAAAAGTGGTCCGGACCTGGTGTGTTTTGTACATTTTGTGACTTCGAAGTGTCCATCATCTGGCCACATGGCTCCGCACCCGCCGCTTTAGTGAGCCTACTTTTCGACCCTCCTGAGCCACAAATCAGTGGAAAAACACCCGGGGCCACAAATCAGTGGAAAAACAGTGTTTCGCAACTTGTCTACCTTTTCGCGCACTTGGATCTTCTTTCTTCTGAGACTTTCTCTTTTTTGACCTTCTTTCTTCTTCTCTTCTCTTCTCTGACTCTTCCCGTCTCTGCTTTTCATCTGTCCATATTGTCGGAAGTTTGACTTCTAAACTTCCTTCGATTAGCTTTTTGTTCATTTGCATGATACGCAAGATGAGCTCGTAGCGCTGTAAGGCTGGATGAGAGTAACGCAATGAATGACACCCTCGCTGCCACCGTGATGCAATTCTGATTCTGCGACGCCGAGGCCGTTCCGTGGCCGTAAAGATGGCCCCATTTCGCCTTCGCCTTCAGAGGTGCCTTTGCAACCAATCAGATCCACCAACCAATGCTTCGATAGGCGCCTTTGCATACCGACGGCCATGCATCCATCATGCATGCATAGATACAGGGACTTTGATAGGACTGTGCCAGTGATTCGTTCAATTTTATTCATCTGTCGAATTTGGTTGATTCGCATTGTTCAGACCTTCAGATCTGGCATTGCAGCAAAGAATTAAATAGAATTTGGCAAATACTCCTTGCAACATGAAAGTCGAGACCTCCAAACGCTGCAGAAATGTTTTTCCTCTTTGACCTTTGACGTTTCCGTCGGGAGGGTATGTCCAATCGACCAATGTGTGATCCTGGAATCCTGGTCGCTTGAGACGGCAACCGCCCGCATATTGAAACCATGGGTGTGCCGCTCGGACCCGCGCTGAGCCCATGTTGCATGCTCCTATTTGAGGCCCATCTTGGGCTTATATGATATGGCTACTGTTGTGGCAATGTTGGGCCTATCTTGAACCTGTGCTGGTCCTACGTCGGATCTGAAGCTATTTTCTCGCTTGTAATTGCTGCTGATCTGTGCGTCCGCACGAAAAACGCCTTGGCACCTTCGGCGCTGTCGGGCCTGTCTGTCATTTACGACTCTGCATGTTGCCTTCGCAATGTAGGTTGCGCACTCTTAAGTTAGTCGTCACCTTCTTTTCTTTACAAGTTTCCTTTTCTTTTCAAGCTCTGTGCAAGCTTATCACCGAGCAGTTGTTTGATGCGAGTCTCCGTTCATGTTTCGAATGGGCCTAGCACATGTTGTCCAAACCTCCATTCCAACTTGGCCACTGGTTCTCCCAGTATATCTCAACATCAACTTCAACCAGTCCTGTTTGGTGTCTCAGCAAGCCTGTGTGTCACTGAATCACTACGTACAAGTAACGTTTGGCTGCGTGTTTCCTTGGTTTGATTTGCCATGGCAAAGCAATAGGCAAGTGAATGCAAACAATTTCAAAAGCCTATTGCAGGTATTGTTCAAACTTTTCTTTTAGAGACATGTTTTTTTTGGGCATGCCATGATATGCATCATGCTGTGCCCACGAAGAAGCTGCTAGGGTACCATCGGTTCCATGCCGACTGCGCAAAGAATGGTGGCAAGCTTAGCCGCCTTAGCCTGACATGCATGGGCAGCACGGCAGAAAATTGACGAAAACAAGTTTTAAAATTCTGGGATTTTTGTTTTTTTCCTGATATAGTTTAGCTGGGAAAATGTACATGCTTGCATCGCAAGTTGAGTTGAGCACCACCCCCAAAGAATCGTGTCTCTGCTTATATAGCATTGTGACATGCTGTATTTGTGTATCGGGATGGATTCATTTACCTACCTACCTACCTGCCTGCCTGCCTACCTACCCATTTATTCATCTACCCACCGATCCATTTTATCCATCTACCATTCCATCTATCTATCTATCTATCTATCTATCTATCTATCTATCTATCTATCTCTCTGTCTATCTATCTATCTATCTACCTATCTATCTATCTATCTATCTATCTATCTATCTAATCTCTCTAATCTCTCTAATCTCTCTAATCTATCTAATCTATCTAAAATCTATCTAAAATCTATCTAATCTATCTATCTATCTATCTACCTATCTATCTATCTATCTATCTTTCTATCTATCTATCTATCTATCTTCCTTTTTGTCAGCCCTTCAATCCATTTGTCCATCTTCTGCCTATCTCTCTCTTCACGAAGGCTAGCCTGCTAGCTGGAGTTAGCTTTGCTTTAGCACATAAATTGGGGGCAGATGCTGCGGTGGGAAGTCTGGGCGTCGAGGGCCACCCCGTACGATGGACAGTTGGAGGCTATTTAACAGTTAGCCGCTAACCTTATTTATTCGTTGCTTATAAATGAAGAAAGGGGCTGGCAAAAAATGCAAGCGAGAAAGAGAAGCGAAGCCAAAATTGTGCTTATTCCAAGACAGCCTTGCAGCCTTGCGCACCTGCAAGGTCAGTGCTCCAGTGGAACTTGCTTCCAGGTCTGTGGCCGTCAGATCAACGAAGGCAGATTTGCTAACAGAATTGAGATTGGCAAAGAGAAACTGCTCCAATTTGGACAGACTGCTTGCACATACAAGTTTATGGAATCAGAGTGCCGCGGTTGTTTCTCAGACGCCAGCGAGTTCTGCGAGAATCAGCAGCAACCGGCACTCTGCTACAGCTCCGCCAGGAGAGTAGCCAGTCAAGTCTATGATTCTAAACCTAGTTGATCCTACTTGCCCACGTGTAGAGGGTAGTCTTCAAGTAATCTTCTTGCTCAGCTATGTGCAAACAAGCACATTGGCGTGAGAGAGGGACAGACAGAGAGGACACATTCATAAGATCTGAGCGACCCGATTTTGATTTGTTTTGAGTGTTGGGGGCTGACCAGATTTGCTTGCAAGTCTCGGCAAGGACGTCCAAACCTGCACTCAGCCAGCGCAAAGACCGCAGCGATGCTGAGATCGACAGCGCCAGTTTTGCATATGCATAAGGTATGTACAAATATCGTCAGGGCAGATGCCTTTATCATGGATGTTTACATCTTGACTATCTACATTTTTACGAAAGCCAGCCGCTAGGCTAGGTGAAGCTTTTTTTTTGCGAACAAAGTGAGTTAAGGATAGTTAAGGGGGTCTGGGGGTAGAGCGTGCCAAATGTGCGGAAAATCACAGAATTAGGTGCAGTGGAGCCCGGTCAAGTGGAGCATTTTTGAGGGGTAAGTACCAGGTGGCAATTGGGTGACGGTGGGGTATCGATTCCCCCCTGGTCCGTGCTGGGAGGTGCATTTGGGGAGGCGATAGAGAGTCTGGAATCGAAGGGAGTCAGAGAAGAGGCATTGCTTGGAAAGCCGCTGGAGGTGTATTTTGGGAGGCGCCAGAGAGATCGGACGAGAATATGCATCTGTCTCTTACTCTTCTACCCCTGTCTCTTGTGCTCCGATGTGGGATCATTGTGGTCGCAAGGATTAGAAGGAATTTCTGTCAATATAGGATGTGGACGAGAATGTACTCGTCGACTTGTATTTGTTGGGTTCCGATGGGGGACCATTATCGTCGCAAGGATTAGAAGCAACTTCTGTCAGTATTTGGGTTCCGATGTGGGACCATTGTGGTCGCAAGGATTAGAAGCAACTTCTGTCAGTATTTGGGCTCCGATGTGGGACCATTGTGGACGCAAGGATTAGAAGCAACTTCTGTCAGTATACGATGCTTTGGGAGAGATTGGAATAGAAGGGAGTCAGGGGAAAAGGCATTGCTTGGAAAGGTCGCCGGAGGATGTGGATGAGGATGTACTCGTCGATTTGTATTTGTTGGGCTCCGATGGGGGGCCCTTATGGTCGCAAGGATTAGAAGGAACTTCTGTCAGTATAGGATGCGTTGGGAGAGACTGGAGTCGAAGGGAGTCAGACGAAAAGGCATTGCTTTAGGAACTTCTGTCAGTATAGGATGCCGACGAGAATGCACCCATCTACTTGTATTTGTTGGGCTCCGATGTGGGGTCATTATGGTGCAAGGATTAGAAGGAACTTCTGTCAGTATAGGATGCTTTGGGAGAGAATGAGGCAAAGGACAGAAGATGGGTCAGTATGAGGTATTTTGGGAGGCGACAGAGGGATCGGATCAGAATATGCATCTGTCTCTTGCTCTTCTACCCCTGCCTGTTGGGCTCCGATGTGGGATCATTATGGTCGCAAGGATTAGAAGGAATTTCTGTCAGTATAGAGTATAGGATGTGGACGCGAATGTACTCGTCGACTTGTATTTGTTGGGCTCCGATGTTGGACCATTATGGTTGCAAGGATTAGAAGCAACTTGTGTCAGTATACGCTGCTTTGGGAGAGACTGGAATAGAAGGGGGTCAAAGGAAAAGGCATTGCGTGGAAAGGCCGCCGGAGGATGTGTACGAGAATGTACTTGTCGAATCTGTAGGGTTGTGGGACCATTATCGTCGCAAGGATTAGAAGGAAGTTCTGTCAGTATAGGATGTGAAATTAGGAAACTTTGGAAGGGGTGACGAAAATATCCAGTGGAGTCTCCTAGTCCGTCCGATGTAGAGACTGGAATAGAATGGAATAGAATGAGGCCAGAGGCAAAGGCATTGCTTGGAAAGGTGGGAACTCAATGGCTACTTTTCTTTATGTCTCTCTCTTACTCTTCCAGGCGTATCTGTAGGCTTAGAAGAAATTTCTGTCAGTGTAGGGTGTGAAATTAGGAAACTTGGGAGGGGGGGCGAAAATATGCATCTCTCTTTGATTCCTCTACCCCTATCTGTGGGAACCGAATAGCTACTTCTCTTTGGCTTCGGTGTGGGACCATTATGGTCGCAAGGATTAGAAGGAAGTTCTGTCAGTATAGGATGTGAAATTAGGAAACTTTGGAAGGGGTGACGAAAATATGCAGTGGAGTCTCCTAGTCCGTCCGATGTAGAGACTGGAATAGAATGGAATAGAATGAGGCCAGAGGCAAAGGCATTGCTTGGAAAGGTGGGAACTCAATGGCTACTTTTCTTTATGTCTCTCTCTTACTCTTCCAGGCGTATCTGTAGGCTTAGAAGAAATTTCTGCCAGTGTAGGATGTGAAATTAGGAAACTTGGGAAGGGGGTGCGAAAATATGCATCTCTCTTTGACTCCTCTACCCCTATCTGTGGGAACTCAATGGCTACTTTTCTTTGGCTTCGATGTGGGATCATTATGGTCGCAAGGATTAGAAGGAAGCTCTATCAGTATAGGATGTGAAATTAGGAAACTTTGGAAGAGGTGACGAAAATATGCAGTGGAGTCTCCTGATCGGTCCGATATAGAGAACGAAGCCAGAGGCAAAGGCATTGCTTGGAAAGGTGGGGGAACTCAATGGCTACTTTTCTTTATGTCTTTCTCTTAGTCTTCTACACCTTATCCGTTGGGCTCCGATATGGGAGCATTATTATGGTCGCAAGGCTTAGAAGGAACTTCGGTCAGTATAGGATGGGAAATTAGGAAGCTTAAATTTGGAAGGTGAGGAAAATATGCAGTGGGGTCCAAAGTGGGGCCACTGTAGGGGATTTGAGGGAACTTCTGTCAGCATGGGATGTGAAATTAGGAAGCTTTGGCAAGGGGTGAAAACATAGCAGAAGATGGGACTGCTGTGTCGGCCCCGTCAATGCTTTTTGTGAAATTAGGAAGCTTTGGGAAAGAGTGACGAAAATATGAGGTGAGGAGGGCAGAGGCAAGGGTCCGTGAATGGAGGCACAGTCACTATGGAGAACAAACTTCCGTCAGTATGGGATGTGCAAGTAGGAAACTTTGGAAAGGGGTGATGAAAATATGAAAACATGAGCGTAAGGATCCTTGATAGTCTGAGGGCGAAAAGTTTGCGGGTGAAAAGTCTGTGGGTGAAAAGTCTGTGGGTGAAAAGTCTGTGGAAGAAGAGTCTCTGGGAGAAGAGTCTCTGGGTGAAAAACATGGGTGAGACGCGTACGGGTAAAAAGCCTGTGGGTGAAAAATGTGACAAGGCTGCGCGTGAAAAAGTCTGTGGGTGAAAGTCTCTGGGCGAAAAGCGTGTGGGTGAAAAGTGCGCGGGTGAAAAGCCCGTGGGTCAAAAGTATATGGGTGAAACGGGTAGGCGCAAAGGCTGTGGGTGAAAAGTCTGTGGGCAAAAAGTCTGTGTGTGAAAAGTGTATGAGTGAAAGCCTGTGGGTGAAAAGTATATGGTTGAAGAGTCTTGGGTCAAAGTATATGGGTGAGAAGTATATGGGTGAAAGACGGTGGGTGAAAAGCCCCTGGGTGAAAAGTGTATGGGTGAAAAGGATATGGGTGAAAAGTTTGTGGGTGAAAAGTATGTGGCTGAAAAGTCTGTGGAAAAAGAGCCGCTGGGTGAAGAGTCCGTGGGTGAAAAGTATATATATGTGAAAACTCTGTGGCTAAAAAATCTGTGGGTGACAAGTCTGCGGGTGATAAGTCTGTGGGCGAAAAGTGTGGGTGAGAAGTTTATGGTTGAACTCAACGATTGAACAGTCTGTGGGTGAGGAGTCCGTGGGTCAAAAGTATATGGGTGAAACAGGTATGGGTGAAAAGTCTGAGGGCGAAAAGTGTATGGGTGAAAGTCTCCGGGTGAAAAGTCTGTGGGTAAAAAGTCTGTGGGTGAAAAGTCTATGGGTGAAAAATACATGGGTGAAAAGTTTCTAGGCGAAAGTGTATAAGCAAAAAGTATGCGGACGAAGAAAAGTATATTGGGGGAAAAGTCTGAGGGTTAAAAATATATATTGGTGAAGAGTCTCTGGGTGAAAAGCCTCGGGGTGAAAGGTATATGGTTGAACAGTCTGTGGGTGAAAAGTATATGGGTGAGAAGTATATGGGCGAAAGACTGTGGGTGAAAAGTCCCTGGGTGAATAGTATATGGGTGAAAAGTCTGTGGCTGAAAAGTATATGAGGAAAAAATTGAGGGTAAAGTGCATTGGTGAAGAGTCTTTGGGTGAAAAGAATATGGGTGAAAAGCCTGTGGGTCCAAAGTATGCAGGTGAAACGGGTATGGGTGAAAAGCCTGAGGTTGCGAAGTCTGTGGGTGAAAAGCGCGTGGGTGAAAAGGGTGAAAACCCTGAGGGTAAAAAGTATATTGGTCAAGAGTCTCTGGGTGAAAAGTTCGAAAAACCTGTGGAAGAAGAGCCTCTGGGTGAAGAGTCTCTGGATGAAAAGTATATATGTGAAAAGTCTGTGGATGAAAAGTCTGCGCTCAAAAGTGTATTGATGAAAGTCTGTGAGTGAAAAGTATATGGTTGAACAGCCTTGGGTGAAAAGTATTTGGGTGAGAAATGTATGGGTGAAAGACGGTGGGTGAAGAGTGTGGGTGAAAAGCCTGTGGGTGAAAAGCATATGGTTGAACAGTCTGTGGGTGAAAAGTGTATGGTTAAGAAGTATATGGGTGAAAGACTGTGGGTGAAAAGCCCCTGGGTGAAAAGTATGCGGGTGAAAAGTCTGTGGGTGAGACAGGCATGGGTTAAAAGTCTGAAGCGCAAAGTCTGTGGGTGAAAAGTTTGTGGGCGAAAAGTGTTTGGGTGAAAGTCTGTGGTGAAAAGTGTACAGTCGAACAGTCTTGCGTGAAAAGTATGTGGGTGAGAAGTATATGGGTGAAAAGTATGTGGGTGAAAAGTCTGTGGGAAAAAAGTCTCTGGGTGAAGAGTTTTTGGGTGAAAAGTATGTGGGTGAAAAGTCTCTGGGTGAAAAGTCTGTGCAAGAAGAGTCTCTGGGTGAAAAGTACGTGGGTGAAAAGCCTGTGGGTGAAAAGTATATGGGGGAAAAGTCTGTGGGTATATGGTTGAACCGTCTGTGGGTGAAAAGTATATGAGTGAGAAGTATATGGGTGAAAAGTTAGTGGGTGAAAAGCCTGTGGGTAAAGAGTATATGGGTGAAAAGTCTGTGGGTGAAAAATCGTTGGGGGAAAATAGGGGTAGATGGGATGCTGGCTTTCGTTCCCCCCTTCTCAGGTATTTTTAAGTCTTCCAGAAGTGACGTGTGCAAGCATTATCGTGAGTTTGTGAACAAGTCAAACAATGCAGTTTTGGAAGCTTTGTTAGAGGCGACGACATTCTTGAAAAGCTAAGTCGAAGGTGTCGGGGTCTTGTGAAATATAAGGCGGCAAGATACGGGTCTCCAGACAAAGGCACAGCGCAACTGAGATACGTCGAATGACTCCTTTACTCTGTTTGGCTGTCCAAGATCAAATACCTCTGTCGTATTGTGGTACTTGGGCTGCGATGATTCTTGCTGTGTACTTTCTGGCAAGGTGGAGGCGCTCCACGAGAACAAGGCGCATGGAACGGAAAGCCCAGGAAACATTTTCCGTCATGCAGTCTGTTGCGCGATTTCATACGGCGTCACACCTGGAGCAGGCACAGAAGTAACTCCCAGAACTTGTTCGGATACCCAGAGTAAAAGTGAAGACACCGCTGGAGAAGCCTTCATAGACCTTGCCGTTCTCAAATGAAAACGTTTAAAACTGCTGGAGAGGTCACAGGAACCGCTCAGATGATGCAGCCTTTGCAGCCAAGCATTGCAAGAACGAAGGAAGTCAGAAACTGAGACACTGACAGCAGAAGAGATTTACAGTTCCCCAAATCAAATTGACTGCGCGACTTTGTAAGGTCTTGAAGATTCAGAGGGGGAAGATGGAGATGGCCACATTCGGCGCTTGAGCGAAAAGCAGCCGCTGCCTCGCATCGGATTTGACAGCACTAAAATGCGTTAAAAATTGCATCACACCGGGAGTCAGGAGCCGCCCGGGAGCCACCAACCCCTACCATCAAGCCATGCTCCAAGGTACGAAGCACTTGTACGATGTGCTCAGCAAGTGGTGGCCCTCAGTGGTGCAGGGAGCTCAGCTACGCAACGTTGTCAGCTTCAGGGTGCTTGAAAATGGACTGAACATTCAGTGTCAGTCAGGCGCGTATGAGGCTGAAAAACAGTGCCAGCAGTATTGCTAAAGGCTTGCGCAAAGTTTCCGGCGACAGAGCTAGAGTCCATCAGAGCAACGCAAAGTGACAGAAACCAAGAAATCGAAAGTGTCAGCCTCCTGGCAAGACTTGCAGGAGAATGACTTCAAAGTAGGGTCTTGAAGAACATGAACATGCAAACTTACATCGAAAAACCGCCTGCAACCCCACAATGCCTTTGCAATGCTTCTTCGAGCCCCGAATGGCATGAAGCACAAAGGTATCTTATGCGTGCAAAACAACAACCAGCAAGGTGTCAAAGGGGATACCGCGGGCATGCAATAATCATGGAAGGGGAATGCAAGGCGCATCAAAGGGGCATGCAGTGGGACGAGGGACATGCAGTGGGACATGCTACATGCAAGGCGCATGCATGGGACATTGACAGGGGCATGCAAGGTAGTCGGGCAACGTCATTTTCTTCTTACCCCTGCCACGGGAAATGGCATTCGGAGGGTTCGTGCAGTGGGTGGCCAGTGGGGGGGCGGGCGGGCCAATCACTCACTGATGCTACACGAGAGATGAACTTGGGACAAAGATGCTCCTATTCGCTGTGCCACTGGGCAGGGTGTCCTTGGCGGCGCGTCTACACGCAACTGGCGTTTCTTTTGTTTTACCACATGCAAAAACCCATACTGCAATATTCATTCGATATTTCAGATTTTGATACTAGCGCATACCTTTCCTGAAACCGACCTACAGCTTTCCTTTTGAGGCCGGAGGATTGGCTCCCAGAGGCGCGGCAATTCCTCGTTTTTGATGCCTTGCAGAACTAATGTGGATTCTCGCTTGGTGCTTGCCAAAGCAGGCTGTAGAGATGCATTGTGAAAGAAACTTCTGAACTTCTGACAGTGTTGCCAGAACTGGGTCGGCCTGGGAGCTGTCGGTTTGAGTGGATTTTGCGTCCTCCAAGACGTGCGAATGTTTTGGTGGCGCTTCATACCTACCTCAGGTAGAGGCTGATGCTGGTAGCCATTGCAAAAGTGCGTCTCAAATTCTACCTGAATCTGGTTGTGCTTCGTTGCAGGCTAACCTGGCTGACCTTTGATGCACCTTGGCCTGGCTCCAAGCCACAAGTCAGGAGCCAAGAGGCCCATTGTGCAAAGCCGGGCGCTTTTTCCCAAAGCAAAAAGACGCTTTCAGGCTGGGAGCCTACGCCGCCAGCGAGCAATCCCAAGAAACATTCAGAGAAAGAGGGCACCGTGAAGAAGATCGACGCATCAACTTACATCTCTTACAAAAAACAGGACATATTGCCTCCATACCAATGACATTCAGTGGCACAAAGTTGGGCTTACCCTCGACTCGACCTCATGTTGCTGGCAATTCACATCGGCAGCTATTCTCGACGTATTGATCTGCCCAGATTTGGGCGATCAACTAGCCACGGGTGCTCAATGTTCCCGAACTCATGTCGCCGCTGCTGTTTATCTCCAGATGAACCGAATCAACTTTAGCGCAAAGCACAGGTGGAAGCTACACAAATTATTGGTTGAGATGGCTCACAAATCGGCATTGCATCATGCATCTTAAAACTTAAAACTATTTGGAATCCTAGGTCGCGCTTCCCTGCAGCGCAATTACAGTACCTTGAAACGCATTCGAGCCCATGTAGCAAGAGACATGCACAAGTGTCACCAAAGATGAGCACAACTACTACTTGCAGAACCTAGTCCGGCAAGCTTTCGGCTTCAGATTTTGCCATCAAGGCTCGGGAAAGGATCGGCAATGCACTGCCAACGCACTGCGAACTCGCACGGAGTGTGGGGAGAGGACCTGAAAGTTCGAAGTGCTCGCATTTTACACCCTGTTACAAGTGTTGCAATGCGTCGCACAAGTTTCTCACCCTCGTGGCTCAGGCTGATGGGGCCCCAAGCAAGATCGACGGCAATGAGACGTTCGTCTCAGCAGGAGGCTGGGATTGGCGGTCGAACACAGCGGCTGCAAAGGAGCAACGCCACAATCAGTTCGTGGCTGTGGTTGTTCATGTCCGGAAGAAAGGAGGCCTTGTGGGTTCAAGGAGAGACCTATCAACTGTATTTCACTTTCCGCTAGAGAGTGGCACTCCACTTGGTTTTGTTCAACCTAAGTACCCTATAGCCTATACATCTCGATGCTCCATATTCTGCCATAGCTAGGTGCGGGTGGTGGGTCTGCTTCTGCAGGATGAGGATACTTGATGCTGTGCCCTTGTCTATCAACTACCTTGGAATAGATCAGAATATGTAAAAATCTTTGGAGTTTAGAACGCAATAACGCAATCATCCAAAGAAATAATTGGACATGATTTTCCCTGACATGCAAGTCTGGTCAATGACTTTTTGCTTTGTTTCCAAAGATCCCCCGCCAAGTGGTCCGGACTGACCACAGGCTCTCAGGAGGCGATGGTCCCCATTGATGCTTTTAGGCATTCCTGCCATCGTGCAGCCTGAACCCACCAAGCTTTGCTCAAAAGCATTTCTATCTCACAAGAGTGTTTGGATTTCTTTGGCCAAAAGTTTGCATTGGGTCCTTGGGTTTCTCTTGCGCTCCATCGATTTCAAATTTGAACTTCGCAAGGCTTCGCTTTCGCGGTCAAAGCTTCGCAAGACCTCAGTCCTATTCGGCAAGACTTTGAGAGCACGTGGCTATGTGGACAAGCGAGTGGATCAATCAGGCTTTCACAAATCAATGTGTTTCACAGGGCGCGATCTCATGTCGGTCAATATTTCTATTTCATCCGTAACGCAGTTTGACCAGCCCAGATGGCCCGCACGTGAAGAGTGTTCCAACATGCCTATGAGGGCAAAAGCAGTGGGAGGACTTTGTTGCATCTGCTTCAAGGAATTCTGCAGTTCTATTTTAAGAAGCAACGAATTCCGCATTGGGATCCCTTTCAAGTTTCGCTGTTTGCATTGTGCGGCCAGTTCATGCGCCCTCAAGAGGACCCAAGCGAAAAGATACAAAGAAGCAAGCTCAAGTTCAGAAAGCCGCCTGGCACATACTTTAGGCTATGGAGCAGTTGCTTTCTTAGCACATGCTACGACCATCCATCGTGCCAATGATACCTGCACGGCAAGCATATTCCTCTTCAGACCCTTCAGTCGTGTCTTTGGTGGATTGAGGAACGAAAAAAGAAGGACCCAATCTGAACGGGAAGGCTGCTTAAGTTGGACGCATGTGGGTTGAGTGGGCCTCCTAGTGTTCTGGCCGAAAGGTGCAGGTACAATCGTGCAATTGGCCCCTGTAGGACGATGTGATAGAGCTGGAAGGGAACGTGGTTGCACATTCGCACAACAATTTCAAGGCAGGGGCCCGGCACCGATGGCTGTCCAAAACGCCAACTGCCGCTCATGTCGCGCATGCTCCTGTGAGGTGCTGCTCACTAATGGTGCCGAGGTCCGTGGCATTTTGGCTATGGCTTTCAAACCCCATTCGAATGTCACCGTCGCTAAGATTTTGTGTTATTCTGCTGCAATTTTGCAGAAAGCTTGAAAATAGTGTCAGGTACAATGTACACTCGCTGGCAAGCTTCGAATGAACAACATTAAGGTGCAAGCCCCATAAAGCGTGTCCTGTTCAGTGTTCATTGCCAGTGCATGATGTAGCTTCCAAATCTCAATTATGATCATCATGGCACTTATTCCGTCAAAATCTTCATGCACAAGTCTTGTAATTATATTGTGTTCATGCTATTGAATACAGATGTCATTCGGCCAGTCTTTTGAGCCAGAGAAAGCGTCTCAGAGAACATTTGATACTGCACCTCGAGCCTACGGGTGTCGAATTTCAGCCCAAGCTTAAAGCAGGTGAATGCAGCAGTTGCTCCTCGATTTCCAAATTGTTTTTCAATTCTGAATCTTTTTGGCGCTCAACCCCAACGCGCCGCCTGATGCAGAAGAGGCTGCAGTAATATTGGCCGCCTTGTTTCCTGCTGCGAGCGGGTCGACCCCACGGGCAAGTCAAGAGCTAGCAACGCTTCCAAGCCGAAACGCTTCTCATGTTGTTCAATTCCCTTGTTCTTCAGTTTTGAAGGCCTCTTGGCAGGCCTAGCAAGCACCATATTAGGCAGGATAACATAGACCCGGGCAAGCCGGCGGCGGAAGTTTCCCAAACATAAATGACCTATAGTTCAAAGACACCCTGTCCCGACCGTGTCCTTCCCTCGACAACTGTTTGATTTTTTCAGCGAGAGACGAAACAAAGTCTTCACACTCCACACTCCACACTTCACACTGCACTCTTCGCACTCCAAACTTCAAACTTCACACTCCACACTTCACACTTCACACTTCACACTGCTTCCTTCACACTCCAAACCTCACACTTCACACTTCACACTTCACACTGCGCTCTTCACACTCCAAACTGAAACTTCACACTCCACACTTCACACTTCTCACTTCCCACTGCTTCCTTCACACTGCACACTTCACACTGCACTCTTCACGCCCCACACTTCACACTGCTCTAAACCTACGCGCAACAAAAAAACACGAGCGCCAAAATGGAGAAAATCTGCTAACAAATCCATTTCGCAGCCTTCATGCAGCCAGTCCAAGACGATGTACGAGATCCAGCTGCAAAAGACATTACGCATGCAGCCAAAGCAAGAAGCAACCTTGACGCAGCCATTCCAATGCGATCTGCGGAGACTGAGTTGCAAAACACAAGAGAACTACGC